CCCCACCCCCCACATTCCAACAACCAGCAAAGAACCTCCCCCCTTTAGTATGGGTTCTTTTCTTATGGCGTTTTAAATCTTAATATGAGATCTTTTAATATTCTATAGTATTTTCAGTTTTAAAGTTATTTGGTAAGTAGTAATTTTTATTGTACATATAAATGTTATTTAAAAAGGTGTATTCAAATAAATGTCAAAATGCATCATTGGAGTTTAATTTTGACTTTGAACTTTACAACACGGTAGTGCATTTTGAATTTTTCTACATTTTATTTGTTTTCAGCTTTTCTTCCATTTTGGCTTTTAAAATTCCGAAGGAAGATGTGCAGTCTCTCTCACAGTCTTTCTCGAAGCTGGAAGAAGGTAAGTAGTGTTTGGAAATAAGTACAAGGTAGTTCTCAAAGTACAAAATAATTTCATTGTGAAAATTCAGAACTTGGGACTCAGATTTCCTAGAAACTTTGATAAAGGCTAAGCCAGCCTTTTACTTACTGAATCTTAAGATGAAGGTCACTGCAAACACTACTGAGGATTTCATAGGTGAATTACGTTGTCCTGTAAACCGGTTACCATCTCTAGTAGAGTTTGCCTCAGCTCACCAGACTGCATCTGTGAACTTCAGAATCTCTCCCCAGTTCCCTATTGCAGTGGGTACTCAAATTCTTGCTGGTGCTGGGCCTCAGTGACAGTGGTATCGGGACTCCTGGGGCACAGAGAGAATTCGTAGTGTTGGGGAGCGGGAATGTGTCAGCAGAACTTAATGAACCATGGAATTTACAAAATTTGTGGTGGGTAGGATAAAGATGCTAAAGATAAAGACAGACAAGTATATGGAGATACAACCCATAACTAGAGAGTAGTTCAGGCAGTCAAGAACAGAGTTGGAGAATGGAAGACAAAGCCCAAGAAAAGGCGAAAGAAAGGAATACCAGGCGTGAAGGCGGGAGAGGTGAGCTCAGATAGTATCACTGAACATGGAGTCCATAGTGCTGAAGGCATGGTGGGAGAGGGAACGAGAAGGGACAAGGGAAAGTGCTTTTTGGCAGCTCCTCATCTAAATGCATTGATTATAGGGATCTTTTTTAAAAACAAACATTAGTACCCACCGTAGTAGTTACTCCCATTGTGTTCTTTAAAAATACTAATAAGTTAATATTATTATTACATTTTAATAGCTAAACATACTTTTGCCATTGAAGAATACAGCTTTTCTCAAGCAACATTGGAACAGGTATTATAAAGCTATATTTCGTGTGTGAGTGTTACTGTGTGTATGTGTGTGTGTGTATATGTCTAGGGATTTTTGTCATTGTTGTAAAAGTTTATGTATATAACACAACATTTACCAGTTCATACTTTTGAGTGACGTCAGTTCCGTTGATGAGGCTGTACAACCCTGACCTCTCCCTTAATTGTCACTGAGTTTCCATCACCATAAGCAGAAACTTACTGATGCCTAAAGAATGGTTCCCCTTTACTCCTTTCCCCACTTCTCACAGGGTCTTGGTGTGGCACTGTGTGTTAAGGCACTGGACTGCAAGATCGATTTGAACCACAAGGTCGGCGGTTCAAGCTCACTAGCCGCTCCTTAGAAACCCTATACAGGGTCACTATGAGCCTGAACCGACTTGACAGCACTTAACAACAACCCACCCCTCACAACGGCCTCTGGACGTTGTTATTTCATACACGTGCCACTGATACGTCTGACTCAGCATCGTGTTTTCAGGGTTCACATTGCCCCAGGACCTCACTGCTCCTCATGGTTGAGTAGGATTCTGTTGTGCATGTGTTGGACATTGTGTTTGCCCACTCACCTGCTGATGGACACCTTTCGGCTGTCGGCGTGCACAGGTGTCTGTTTGTGCTGCTGCTGTCAGGTCTCTGGATGCGTGCCTCGGAGTGGGATCCCTGGGTTATCATACCGAGTATCTGGGCTTAACTTTTGGGGAGCCACGAAACGCTTTTCCATAGCAGCTGTACTATTTTTTTTTTGACTGTAGAATTTATTTTAATCAACTTTTAGAAAAGATACATCCTTTTTCATCATGATCTCTTTTCATTTTTTAAAAAATATTTTTATTGTGAATTAGTGATAGTTTACATTGAAAACATGGGCTTTACGGCATCATTTCATTGTAATGATTACAGTCTTCTGTGAATCATCATTCAACAGTATTTGCTTCCATTCCCTCTGTTTCTCTTTTCCTTTCTCTTTTTGGTGGGGCGGGGGAGAGTGAGGGGTTGTACACCCAAACACTCAGGAATATATATTAATTTGAACAACCAGAGGGCACATTCTGCAATCCTGCCTCCTGGCCACCAGCACCCAGTCCCTCTCTTTTCTTTAGCAGCTGTGCTTTTCTTACCAGCTGTGATGAGCGTTCCAGGTTCGCCACATTCTTCTCACCAACATTTGTTTTCCGGATTTTTTTTTTGTGTTCATTGTTGTGTACCCTTGTGGGAGTGAAACAAATCTCATTGTGTTTGATACACATCTCCCCATGCCTAATTCTGTGCATGCACTGCACTGCGAAGTCGGTTTGAACCGCAAGGTCAGCGTTCAAACCCACCAGCCACTCCGTTGAAACCATATATAGGGTCACTATGAGTCAGAACCAACTCAGAGACACTTAACAATAATATGCCTATTGGTGTGGCACTGTAGGATAATGCACTGGACCTTAAATTTGGTCTGAACCATAAGGTTGGCAGTTCAAACTTACCAGCCACTCGGAAACCCTAGACAGGGCTTCTGTCCATTGGAAACCGTTGGGCAGCACTTACCAACAACGCGCCTGTTTGCATCAAGTGGTTCTCATGTACTGGGTGAACTTTTGTACATCTTCTTTCATGAAATGCCTACTCATTGTCCTTTGCCCATGTCTTGATTGGGTTGTTTAAGTTGTTGTTGTTAAGTTGTAGGAGTTCTTTACATTCCCTGCCGATTCAACCAGTATCTGATATATGTTTCCCAAAATTTCTCTTCCATCCTGTAGGTTTGCTTTTCATTTAGTTGTTAATATAAAATTAAAAAAAAACTTTATAAATGAACATGTCTGCTATTCCAATTGTTTAGGCTTATATTGGAGAAGGGAGGGAGATTGCGACCCAAAGACAGATTGGTGTAGAATATGCCTAAACATTTTATATAATTTTAACAACTGTAGGTTCTCAGCATGTTTGGAATAGCTCAGTTTCTTCAGTTTGGTAAAGAAACTGGATAAAGGCGGTGGCATTTCATATCGTCTGTTAGGACAGTGCTACTTACATATCTTAATCATAAAGCACAGCCTACTCATTGTCTAACTACAATGAAGTTTTGCCCGTACTTCCCGGAGATGACTCTCTTGTTTGAGTACTATTGATATAAATCCACCTCACTTGGTAATTGAGTGGTGTATATAATTAGATGCAGCGTCACATAGTTTGTGATTTAATTAAGCGTTCTCTTGAGATAAATGGGATCCAGCAGGCTGTATTCATTCCTGTTCTCTCATGTAGGTTTTTGTTGAGCTCACTAAGGAACAAGAGGAGGAAGACAATAGCTGTGGAACTTTAAACAGCACACTCTGGTGGGAGAGAAGACAGGAGGACAGAGTCGTGTTTTGAACTCATACTGCTCAAATCTGCTTATTGCACTTACTTCTTCTTCACTTGATTTTAAAGAATTATTATTTAGTAGTAACCAGAGAACCATGAAAACATACCAGACAAAGAAATTGCTTATTTCACTGGTTTGACTACGCTTCCTATTGAAATGCTTTGGTTGTGTGTTTTGCTTTATTCAAATAAAATTTATGGATAACTAATTGATCCTGCATGTCTGTATGTGAAGTATATTGAACTGTAATCTGTATGTCAAGTAGGGCACTTACTTTTCCACCTTTCAAAAACTGCTTTGAATTCACATTAATTTGAAGTTTTCTTTAGTTTTTGAGCTCTAGAGTATCTTGTCATATAAATATGGAATGCCGCAATTTGAATAAAACACGAATGCATAGATAACACATGGAAAACAGATAAAAAGTTTCTTACTTCTCCTAACTTCTGAAAGAAACGGAATAAAAATTGGTCTCCCTGAGAACTTAAACAAGGGACCGTGTCTGTTCAGGTGTCCACTAGGGGGCACTCTTCAACCACAGCCAATGAAGTAAGACCCTGTCAGGTGCTTTTAGACATAGGCAACTGTCATTTCTTTTGCTTATACTAAAATACAAAGATATTTTGATCAATATACTTACAAAAAGACTGTATCTAGTATCTTACAATATAATGGTCTGATTCTCTGACTGTTTGTGACTAGAATGGCAGACACCTGAAGAGGTAGAGTTAGACCGTATCTTCCCTCTCCTCCTTCATGGAAGATATCAATTGTTTTGGCATCTCCTCTTGAAAGGCACAAATTTATTTTACTCTCTGGATAAAATAACTTCTTGTGTAATAATTTTTATTAGTGCCTTTTCTCTATATCATATTCAGTACAGTATTGTTATCACTGCATAGATTTATTTAGGAACTCACCTCGGCTCTGCTCTGGGACATGGTGGAACATATATTAAAAAAAACAACAACAACACAAAACTGGGCAGGATTAATTTACGAAGAATTAGAACTAAAGTATACATAATTTCCTTTAATAAGAAGCCAAGATTTACTCTGTGGAACAGTTGAGGTTAGGTTAGGGCTAATCCTAATTAATGTAGTCTTAGAAATACTTCCTTGTAGCATCCATATCATTGTGTAACTCACACTACCACATGCCATATTTCAACCAGATGAATGAAAGTACAAACTTGAAAAAACTAACAGGTTGGAAGTGTGTTTGATTGTTGGATTACAGAGAGTTTTAAAGAATAAGATTGAAAGAGTTTGGCACTGAGTTACTTTAGATAGCAAAGCCTTTGAACCAAGTCATTATTTAATGTAGATAAAACTTACGAACTTTAGCTCTATAAAGAAGACACTTGTGATTTTAGGCTCTAGCAACTGATTGAAATACAACACTCCTTTCTTATTTTCACTCCAAGACACTTGATCCGTGACTGGCTTTTTTCTCCTGTTGCTTTGGCAATTGTTGTACACATTCCTGAAGACGTATACTTCACCAGCTATCTCAGATCTTCTTACTCATCTCAAGGAGCCCAGTTAACAAGTTTCTGCTTGGATTTTATAACCTACAGTGGCATGATTTCTCTTTGTAAGATTTAATTGGCACTATTTTTAAAAATCTTTCCTTATCATTCACTTGCCTCATGATAGCAAACTAATTTCAAACCCTTCACATGAGCCTGTCTCTTTCATTCTTTAGCTAAGCACCACTCTATGATGGATACCATTCTAGATGCCGTTGAGAGAAGTTCTTTACCTTTGTACATAAATTAATAAGTAGCACATTGCATTTCTAAGCAAGTCATTACTGAATGGTGCCATCCATTTAAAGAGACATCTTCTAGATCATCTAGTCATATGAATAAGGAGCTCTGGTAGCGTAGTGGTTACGAGTTGGTCTGCTAACCTCAAGGTCAGCAGTATGAAACTACCAGCTGTTCCGTAGAAGAAAGATGAGGCTTTCTGCTCCCGCAAAGATATACAGCCTCGGAAACCCTATGCAGGGTCGCTGTGAGTCAGAACCGACTCCACGGCACACCCCCACCACCATTCATATGAATACCCAGAGTGTCTCTGTAGCTCTGTATAACCTCAACACTAAATTTTGTGTAAGAAACACACTTAGTACAGACCTGACTATCCTGAGATACTATTTCAAATTCAAGCATGTTACTTGCTTTTGCACATCCATTTGATAACTTTAACCTTAATATTTTGTATGTAAGATCAATGTAAAGTAAAATTTTTTTCCTACAAAGTGTAAGTTGAGATTATCCTGACTCATAATCATGCAGTTTATCTGTTGTGTTTATTCAGTTGCTTTATTATTATTGAATATGATGCATACTCTTGTAAACATTTTTAAGAAAATACATTGAATTATTTTTTTAGTTTTTACATAGAAGATATTTTGGTCACAAATTAAATTATTCATAGGAATGTTCTATTCTCATATTCAGAGTAACAAAATCTTTTCTATTCAGGAGACATATAATTTAATAATTAGGGAAGGGTAAGGTAGAAGGGAGAAAAAGATTTAAAAATCAAATGTGAAGTTTATTTACAGTTTGGAATTCATATTTTTGAACATATGAGATGGTTTCAACAGTTCGTGGAAAAATTCCATTATCTTTTAAATCTACTTTTCCATGAATTTTTTTGAAGCCCCCTCAAATATTAACTTTATTTTAAATGTCTTGACATTTCTGATCTCAAGAAGTTTTTCTATACCAAAATAAATATTAATATATATTAGGGATCTTTATTGGGAAATATATAAACTAAGTGATGCTGTTGGGATAAAAGCAGCATCACTTAGCTTATGTTTTTCCACCCATGATCAAATTCTAAAAGTAAAGATGGGGCCTTACTGAGTTACTGTGGTTACGGGATAAGGCACACCTCTGTCTGTCGTCCAGGTATCAAGCCGTTAGTAATAACAAAAACCATTTTAATGAGTGTACACGTTAGGGTTCACTTTGTAGATGCCATTATTTTTCCATTTCATTCTTAGTAGCAGACTCTTAAGTTTTGTTGTAAGACATTTGTTTTCTTTTAAATTGGCACAAACTATTTTATATCAGCATTTTTATTTTACTAAAACATTGAGAAAGTAATTTCTGTTCAACAAATATTTTGCTCACTGTGACTCAGGTATTTGGTTCCTTTGATTCGTGGGTTCTGATCCGTTTTGATCCTGTAAGATTTACAATCTAGTGGGAGAAAAATATTGATGTAGCTAACTATAATCTGATATGCTTTGCTAGCAGTACTTAAAGTATTTTATAGGCACAATTAATTCTACTTAGGGTAAGTGTTGTCATTGTTTATGTTGTTGTTCTGATGGTCACTTAACATTTCATTCTTATCCTGAATTTGTTAAAATATGCTGTATTTTCATGTTGCATCTAAATAGGTATTGGTTCTTGAAAACTAGCAATTCTTATCTCTAATGTATTTTTCATGTCGCTTTCCTTTTATTTTTAATTTTCCTTCCTAAAATCACATATTACCTAAAATGAGCGAATTTATTCTCAGGTGAATAATTTTTATATTGACTATTCTTACAATTATAAGGTAAAAGTTTACTTATTTTTTATTCATAATGTCTTATATGTAATTTATCAATGCTACCCTTTAAGAATAAATAAATAATGTGATTATATTATTAGTAAGGATTAAGAGCTAAAAGTTATGACAAACTTTCATTTTGTATACTGAAATGGATTCTTTGCTATATAACAGTTATGAGTGGCTTATATTAAAAATTAAGAAAAAACTGGCTCTAGAATTGTTAAGTGAATTATTTTTTTAAATTTCTGAGGGGAGGTTTCAAGGGCAAAGGAACACTGGCATTTAGTTTTTTCATTCACATTCATTTTAAATTTCAACTAGGCATTCTTACAGATCTTTGTCTATTTTGTCTAACTGTAAAACAATCCCTTAGCATCAGCACCGAACTCTGAACCACAGAGTCAGCAGTTCAAAACCACCTGGGAAACCTGATACAGGGTCGCCGAGTCAGAGTTGACTCGATGGCACTTGGCAACAGCAACAACATATTTTATGGAGTTTAACAGATTGGATTATTCTCAAATATTTGGAGCATTGAGCTGCTAACTGAAGGGTCAGTAGTTCGAATCCACCAGTTGTTCCATGGGCGAAAGAAAGATGAGACTTTCTGGTCCTGTGAAGACTTACAGTCTCGGAACCCCTATTCAGGGTCACTGTGAGTCGGAACAGACTGGGGGTCTCACCACCATCACCGCCACCAGATCTATCACTCATGTCTCTAGAGTGTTGTGGCTCCACAGGGTAAGGTTGGTGATTTGAGCCCACCAGCCACTCCGTGGGAAAAAGATGTGGCTTTCTGCTCCTGTAACGATTTGCAGCCTTGGAAACCCTATTATACAGGGCCGCTTTGAGTCCGAACCTACTCAACAGCACCAGGAATATATATCAATTTTATTCGATAAATTAGATTCAAACAAAGGCAAGATTTATTTTTCCTTTTTATGCCTTTTTTAGAATTGAAATTTCTATCCCATTAATGTATTAACTATGTAGCGTAGTGGTTACGAATCGGGCTGCGAACCTTAAGGTCAGCGGTTCGAAACTACCAGGTGCTCCGCGGGAGAAAGATGAGGCTTTCTACTCCCGTAAAGATTTACACCCTCGGAAACCCTATACAGGGTCGCTATGGGTCGGAACCGACTCGATGGCACATAACAACAACAACAACATGTAGAGCAAATAAAATTTGAAGACGACATTTAACAAGAAGACCATATTGTAAGGCATAGCAAACAAGTTCTAACAAAAGACCCACCAAGTGACGACTGTAAAATCAGTGAGCAAATTCTTCCTAAGCACTGAAACAACTCTTGAAAATCTGTTTAAATGAAGCAAATCAACTTCTCATGAATTTAAAGCATTGAAATTTGGAAGGGGAGCAGCCCATAGTGTTTGGTGGTGGTTGTTAAGTGCCCTTAAGTCAGTTC